GGATCGAGAGGGCGGCTCGAAGATCGAGGACTGAAGATCTAGAGGGCTGCCAAATGGTGTGGGAGTAATTTGTGTCGGAATATCGCGCCGCATAGATGCACCACCGATGCATCGGCAACGTCGGCGATGCTTCGGCAACATCGGCATGGAGACGATCGGGCTCCTCTGACCCCATCCACTCTGGCCCAGCGTGGGAGTCCTAGAACATCGAGGATGGCGGACCGAATGCCGACGACCGAGGAGAAGGAGGAGGAGGAGGAAGAGGAGGAGGAGGAGGAGGAGGAGGAGGAGGAGGAGGAGGAGGAGAAGAAGGAGCAGGAGAGGGATGATGATGATGAGGAGGAGGAGGAGGAGGAGGAGGAGCTGGAGTTGGAGGAGGAGGAGGAGGAGGGGGAGAAGGAGGAGGAGGAGGAGGCGGAGGAGGAGGAGGAGGCGGAGGAGGAGGAGAGGATGGCGGAGCAGGAAGCGGAGGAGGAGGAGGCGGAGGAGCAAAGGAGGAAGAGGAGGATGAGGAGGAGGAGCAGCAGCAGCAGGAGTAGAAGAAGCAGGAGTCCCAGGATCGAAGATAGAGGCTCGAGGATCGAGGCATTCGGACGTCCTCTGGCCTCTCGCTTGGCATCGGGAGATATCCAAGAGAACTCCAGAATCCTCTCGTGGGGACTTCTGGGGAGCACCAGAAGCCCTCGATTGCCTCCGCGCGGAGGCCTCTAGGAACCTCGCGGACAACGGATAATCTTCGCGACAGCTCGTGACTCACGATGTCTTGGTTGCTCCCCGCTCTCTGGGCCAAGTGCGGTCGGGAACTTTTTTGCCCAGCGTGTCAGGCGTCGGCGGCCCCTGCGACTCGCCGTGTGCCCTGCACGCTGAGAGCGTGCCGCTACGCTCCGCGGGACAGGGTTTTTTGATTCGCGGGTCGAGAGCGCCCCTCTTCCGGTCGAAGCTAAGCGGGCCGCGCAGAGCTTAAATTACGCAGAGAAGGGGGAGGAGAAGGGGGGGGGCGCAGCCTCAGAACGAGGCCGGGAGGAGGCAAAGCCTCGGAACCAGGCGGTGTCGAAGTCGACGAACTTGCAAAGGCGCGCCTTCCTGAAACCGGTGGCGAAGCACCGGTCGAAGCAAACGCTCCGCGGGACAGGGGGGGCGGGCAAGAGCTCGAGACGCTGACGCCCGGGGGCTGGGGCACGCTCAGCGTGTCGCGCCGAGGCGCGGCGGGGCCGGAGCTGGCGGCACGATGGGCGCGGCAGACGTCCCCCTATACCGCACAACTGTCGCGGCCAAAGCTCTGTCCGGGCCGCGCCCCGTGCTGTGGGCCACCTGGCCTCGCACTTCCGGCCGCGCGAGGCGCGCACCGACCTCTGCGCCCTGCGCTCCTGCCTGTGGGAGTCTATCCTTAGTCAGGGTGTTGGCGGACTGGCGGCACACAGCGCGGCAGACAGTGGCAGACGGCGGCAGCCGGCTAGCGGCAGGCAGCGGCACGCCAAACGTCCAAACGTCACCCCCTGTTCGCCGCTACTGGCCGCTAAGCGCCACAAAAGGACAATTCTCGGTGACATCCAAGGCTTCCCCCCCCGGAAAAAAAACCGAGCGCGCCGTCGCGCCGCCGCACCCTGCCCTCCGGGCCCCTCCGCGAGCGGGCGAGACGTGGGCAGCAGCCGAAGACCGACCGAGCCGACGACGGCACCGAGACCGACAGGCCGCCGGCAGCCCACGCGGGCGCAGCAGCGCGGCAACGACGGCGTCCCCGCCGCGCTCGGCTGGCTCGGTCCGCTCGGTTGCCCGGAGCCGGCAGGCCGCGGGCCGCCCGGATGGGCGCCGCGGAGCGGCCACGGCACTGCAGGCGATCGAGCCGAGCCGACCGAACGCGACGGGCTGGCGACGAAGCCGAGCCGACCGAGTCGGAGGAGGAGGAGGAGGAGGAGGAGGAGGAGGAGGAGGGGGAGGAGGAGGAGGGGGAGGAGGGGGAGGAGGGGGAGGAGGAGGAGGAGGAGGAGGAGGAGGAGGTAAGGAGGAGGAGGAGGAGGAGGAGGAGGAACAGGAGGAGGAGGAGCCGTTGTCATTCCTCCCCGCGTCTCTCCTGCGAGGGGCCCAGAGGTTTATCATGAGGCCTTCGGGAGGCCCTGGCGGCGCCTCAAAGCTCCGAAATCTGGACGCCCCTCCTCCTCCGCCTCCTCCTTCTCCTCCTCCTCTTCCTCTTCCTCTTCCTCCTCCTCCTCCTCCTTCTCCTCCTCCTCCTCCTTCTCCTCCTCCTCCTCCTCCTTCTCGTCGTCCTCCTCCTCTATCTGTCTTCCTTATAAGTTCCTCTGTGTCGAACCCCGAAACGAGTCGGTGGGGCAGGCTGGACGTTTCCCATGAGATATCCTCACCATTATGTTCTGTTCCTGAAGAATGAAAAATGCAAGAGCTTCACGGATGGAGGGGACAATTATCAAAATGTGGCTCTCCGCCTTGGCGCCGCGTACATTATTGTTAAAGGTTTGCAGCGGACACGCGGATGGAGGGCGGGCCGTTTTCGAAATTTGGCTCTCGCCTTGGCGCCGCGCACATGCGTTTTAAAGGTCTGCAGAGGATTCACGGATGGGAGGGCGTGCCGTTGTTTTCTTGTGGCCCTCGCCTGAGCGCCGCGCACGTTCGGTAAAAAAAAATGCAAGAGCTTCTCACGGATGGAAAGTGGGCCGTTCTCTTATGTGGCTCTCGCCTTCGCGCCGCATGCATTCGTTTTTGAAATTTGCACGAGGCTGACGGATGGAAGGCGGTTCCTTTTCAAAATGTGGCCCTCGCCTCAGAACCGTGCACATTCGTCTTAACAGTGTTTAGCAGCTTCAAATATTGTTATGGCTGTCGTCCCAGAGTTGGCGTTCAAGTACGATGTAGGATTGCCAGGGCGCGACAATCACGTTGATTCGCTGTGTTAATGTCCTGGATACGGTGTTCCTGCACGATTTGATATCGCCAGGTCGCAACAGTGACATGGATTCGCTGCTGTTGCACGGATGACGGTTTTCAGACGGTTGTCTTCCAACGGGGCTCTTCCATAGGACTATGAAGAGGGAACTCGGAGGGAAGGTGGAACATCGTTGATGCGTCTTGGGTTTACACTGGTCCTCCTCCTCGTCATCCTGGGTGGAAGCCCTTCCAGACCTCTGGGGCATGGACATGGTCATCTTCGAGGCTCGCGCCCCCACCAGAATCTAGGTCCGTTTCTGGTCCTCCTCGCCCCCATCCTTGTTTGATGCTCCTCGTCCTCCTTCTCCCCGTCTCCTCCTCCTCCTCCTCCTCCTCCTCCTCCTCCTCCTCCGAATGTTCCTCGCTCCACCGTCCCACTCCTCCTCTTCCTCCTCCTCCCCTCCGCTTCCCTCCTCCGCCCCGTCCTCCTGGCTCTCCTCCTCGTGCTCCTCCTGGCCCCACCTGTTCACATCTCCGTCAATTCGGAGCAGGGGGCGGATGGTGACGAGGGAGAGGCTGAGGGGAGTAGGGGGAGACGGCGGGAAGGAAGAAGGCTGATGTGGTGGAGGGGAAGCTTGGTAGGGCAGGACGACGACCAGGAGGACTGATCAGGAGGATGTCACGAAGAAAGCGGATAAGGAGGATAAGGAGATAACGAGCGGGGGTAGTAGCGGCAGCATGAGCAGGAGGAGGACGGGGAGCGGGGGCAGCAGCAACAGGAGCTGGATGGCAAGCCGAGTATGATGATGATGATGATGATGATGATGCTGCTGCTGCTGATGATGATGATGATGATGCAGATGGTAATGATGATGACGACGATGGTGATGATGCTGATGCTGATGCTGAGGATGATGATGTTGATCATGATGATGGCTTTGATGATGATGATGATGATGATGATGATGATGATGATGATGATGATGATACTGATGATGATGAAGATGATGATGATGGTGATGATGGTGATGATGGTGATGATGATGATGATGATGATGGTGATGATGATGATGATGATGATGATGATGATGACGAGGAGGAGGAGGAGGAGGAGGAGGAACAGGAACAGGAACATGAGCAGGAACAGGAACAGGGGGAGGAGGAGGAGGAGGAGCTGGAGGAGGAGACGGAGGAGGAGGAGGGGGAGGAGGAGGAGGAGGAGGAGGAGGAGGAGGAGGAGGAGGAGGAGGAGGAGGAGGAGAAAGGAGGAGGAGGAGGAGGAGGAGGGGAGGAGGAGGAGGAGGAGGAGGAGAGGGAGGAGGAGGAGGAGGAGCACGCCCGGAGCAGGTGGCTGCTCGGCGGGGGCGGCGCCTGGATCTCCGCTGGGGCCCATGGCGGTGGTGCCGGCGGGGTGGAAGATACTCGTGCCGATCCGCCCCGCCGCCAGGGCCAGGTCCTCGTCCGACTCAACCTGCGCAGGAAGTCCCCGGACCCCCTCGCGTCGTGAAAAAAACGTGAAAATCGGGAGCGGCCAAGAGGAGGGTGTCCAAGAGGGGGGGGCGCAAATCATGACCGGCGGCATGTGTGCGGCTCAGCGGGGGGGCCAGGGACGTAATGAAAGAAGACGAGGCGCCATGAAATCTGAGGAAATATCTTGGCCCCCGCCATGATATCCACCCCCCCTTAGTCATCACCCCCCTCTTTGCCGCCCCCGAGAAAAGGAGGTTTTCGCCATTTTCGGCTCTGGGAGCCCTCACGGGGCCTCGGGACCGTGCAGAGACGACCCAGGATGAAGAACCAGTCCCGGGGAAGGTGTCCGGACCTCTGGGGGTCGGGTTCTGAACAAGTCATGACGTCGGGGGTCTGGGTAGAACGTCTACGCCTTGAAGGGCCCTCACTCCGATATGTGCTGGGGGAGGAGATGCAGGGAAAGACGAGGCGTGCAGACAGAGGCGGCCCTCGGCCTCTACCCACACAAAAGAAAAAAAAGGCAAACAAGAGCGAGAGGGCACCTGTGAGCGGCCGTGTGTCCGGGGGGACTTGTCAGGGGGGAGGGGGACTGGCTCAGGGAGGAAAAGGTCCTGGAATTGGGGATGCAGCGCCGATAGATCGATGACAGGCCCTCGACAACAACTCCGCACGCTCCTGGGCCGGGAGGGCGATGGGGCCCCTTATCGGGCGATGAATGAGCGATCGGGGGTCGAGGCATCCCCCCCACCCTGAGCCTATCCCCCTCTAGGAGGAGGAGGAGGACGAGGAGGAGGAGGAGGAGGAGGACGAGGAGGAGGAGGAGGAAGGTAGAGGAGGAGGAGGAGGAGGGAGGAGGAGGAGGAGGAGGAGGAGGAGGAGGAGGAGGAGGAGGAGAGGGAGGGGAGGAGGAGGAGGAGGAGGAGGAGGAGGAGGAGGAGGAGGAGGAGGAGGAGGAGGAGGAGGAGGAGGAGTGATCCGCCCACCCTCCCGCTGCGCGGTTCCTCCTGGTTTCTGGCGCCCTACCGATCTCAACCGATTCTTACGCTATCAAAGGTGCAAATGAAGACAGCAGAGCGGGGGTCCGGATGAAGGCCTTCTGGATAAGCCGCCGAGAGCCAGCCCTCCTCGAGGGACCCCGTCACGGGGGCAGTGTCACGACCATGCTGTCTGCGGGTTCGCGATCCAGCCGTGGCGGCGAGCTCGCAGGCCCCGAGCGCCCCCCCCCCCAGAGAAGGAGGAGGTCGAGGACCCCGATCTGTGTTCGCTCAGCGGCCTGTCTAAGACAGAATACTCCGACGGACCCTGGTGTGCGCCCCTCACGCACGTGTTTGATGTGTGGCGATGGTGTCTTCTCTTTGTGAACATTATGGGGGGTATGATTGGGATGTCTCTACTCGGGGCATGGTGCCGATTGATGCGGGTGGTGTGAATGTGTGCGTCGCTGATGCGCAGAACTGTTGCCCGACGTCTGCATGTGACCTTGATGTATGCTGTTGGTGGTGGTTCGTAATGTGTTCCAGGCGTGTGTTGGCGGAGTCTGTCATTGGCTTGCGGGATAGATGCCGATGCTTGAAGTCTGATGTTGATGACGGTTCTTGGTGCCGGTTCCTGCTGTCTGATATATAAACATGTTCGTGATGGCTCTGCCTGGTCTCTGTGCTAAATGCGCGTTGTTGGGTTCGGCGTGTGTCATATGTGGCTCGTGTCTCTTACTAGTGTCTGAGATTGGTATGCTGTTGACGCATGGTTTGGGCGTAGTGTCTTTTGCTGCAGTGCGTGACGTGCGCTTTTCAGGTGTATGATCGATGAATGGCCTTGTTGTCTTGTCTTCATGTCGGCTCTTGACGTGCGCTCTAGATGTCTGGTGACGGCGTGACGTCGTGACGCATGGACGGCATGATGCGTCCCCCGGTGCGGCTGTCTGTTGACCATTCCTGATCCACACTGCCTTCACACTACTTCGTCATTGGGCTCTCTGGAATATCTGAGGCCTGACGGCCGCGGTGTGCAGGGCGGAACAGGCGGGCCACCCATGGATCACCCCAGAATATTGTGGCCTGGCGGCCGCGGCACGCAAGGCGGGGGAGGAGGGTCGGGAACAGCGTACGCAACCAGATAATCGCCCTCAGCCTTTCGGGTGTGGGAACGAGCCTGGCGAAGGGTCCAAACATATACTGGTGTTAATGCAGCAAGGCAGGCGGGAATAGTGAGCAGACCAAGCATCAGGACTGGGGCGCGCATGGGAAAGACAATGACGAATGATAGCAGGGGGCACGCATGTGACGGGACCAAACTCCAGTGGGCCCACGCGAGAAACCCCGCCAGGGACACAGGCAGATTGCCCCATGGGGCACGATCTGCGTGAGGGGAGTGCCGAAATGGGGCGGTGCTGCCATGTGACCGTTGCCACTGGGGCCTTCGGCGGAGCCCAGCCACTGGAGCCCTCCCTATGGGGCCACGGAACGTTCGAGGCTTGCGCCGACAATGATCCGAGGCCGCATGCTACCGCTGCCACTTGGGTCTTCCCTGTTGCTCCGGACGGGGCCGTCCAGCGTGTGAGAGGTGCTCCGAACGGGGACCGAGGCCGCATGCGAACGCAGCCTCGGGGCCCTTCGGTGGAGCTCCCCATGAGGCCACGAGATGTGCTGAGATGGACCCCGCCATGTGAACAGAACCAGTGGGGCGTTCCCTAGAGCTCCCTCTGGGGCCACGAACAGTGTCACCTGTGTAACACATTTGATTGGTGGTCGTGGAAATGATGGGGGGACGATGGTGATGATGATGAGGACGGCGATGACGATGACGTTGATGATGTGGGTGATGAGGATGATGAAGATGACGATGTTGATGATGATGCTGATGATGATGCTGCTGCTGCTGATGATGATGATGATGGTGAAGATGCTGATTACGATGACGATAATGATGCTGGTTCTGGTGTTGGTATTGATGATAACGATGATGTTGTTGTTGATGATGCTGGTCACGATGATGACTGTGATGCTGTGAGGGTGCTGATTGTGGTGGTGATAATGGTACTACTGTTACAGATGACGACGATGATGCGGAGGCACGCTGTGGACTCGACAGGAGGACCCAACACCACAATATTGCTTGCGAGCGTATATGGCAACCAATCCTCGAGGACCGAGGAGTAAAAGAAGGAGGCGAGGCGTAAGAAGCAAGAGGTCAAGGAGAAGAACACGGAGTAGGCCAGGAGGCGGAGGGACGAGGGATGATGGCAGGAAAGAGGAGGATGAAAAGGGAACGGTGATCAGGAGGACGATGAGAATGCTGAGGCGAGGATAAGGAGGAGAAGCCAGGCTAGGAGGAGGAAAGAGACAGGGATTAGGAGGACTGGGAGGAAGAGGAGCAAACGGACGAGGACGAGGATAGGAAGGAGGAGAAGGTCTGGAAGATGAGGAGAAACGAGCTTGCCAATCTGAGGCTGAAGCTGGATGATCATGATACTGACAATAATGATGTTGTTGATGAAGATGATGATGATGATGATGATGATGATGATGATGATGATGATGATGATGATGATGATGATGATGTTGCTGATGATGATGATATTGATGATGGTGCTGATGATGGAAGCACGGATGACGACGATGATGATGGTGGTGATGATGATGCTGACGATGGTGATGCTGATATGACTATGATGGAGATTATGAAGATGATAATGATGATGCTACTGATGATGAAGATGACGATGACGATGACGATGATGATGATGATGAAGATGATAATGATGATGCTGATGCTGATGACGACGAGGAGGATGACGATGATGATGCTGATGTTGATGCTGATGCTGATGCTGATGATGACGATGATGATGCGGATGCTGCTACTGATGCTGATGATGGCGGTAAGGATGAGGATGAGGAAGAGGAGGAAGAGGAGGAGGAGGAGGAGGTAGAGGAAGGACGAGCCAGAGGATGATGATGATTAGGAGGAGGAGGAGGAGGAGGAGGAGGAGGAGGAGGAGGAAGCGTTCTCGAAGGAACGTTCAAATCTGGATGTCCCCCCCGCGGCCAGCCTCCACGCCGGGCAGATGCTCGCGGGCGCCCAGCGCCGGGTCCAGGTGCCCGGCGATCTCCCGCGTCTTCCGCAGCGCACGCGCAGCCACCGCCCTGTCCGACGCTGCGCTCAGGCCCGCCGGCCCCCCCTCCTCCAGGGGGGATGCCAAAGTGGGTGCAGAGAAGCTAGATCGAGAGCGGAAGGAACACCGAGCACCCTCACCAGAAGCACCCCGACAGCGCACCCACAGAAGGAATCGAGCAGGGCCGGGCTGTTTAGTGAACGCTAAGGAATCGAGCAGGGCCACGGCGGGGCCCTCTAGCAAACTCCAATACTGGGGATCGGGGTGGATTCTTTCCTCTCTTGGCTCTAGTGATTGCGCTGAGCAAGGAACTATTGGATAATGAATCCAGGGTCTGGCAGCCTGGCAGCTGGTGGGGACACCCATTGAGGCTTTGCCATAGATAACCGCCGTTGCCCTCATGAGGCCAGGAATGCTCCAGAGTCTGAAGCCTCCTGGGCGCATTGCTTCACGAACGCTCCCACGGTAGAGAGAGGGGGCACGATCGCTGTAGCGTGATCTGTCGTTTTGCTCGGCGCAGCATGGGATCGCCGCCCCTCGTTCTCCGACCCGCGTCCAGCCGTGGCTGCGAGGCGGAGGGGGCCGAAGGCCTGGAAGAGGGGGAGGGAGGCTCGGGACGCGGAGGAGGAAAAAGGCCCCCCCAAACGCTTGAAGAGGCGAAGGAAGGTCCAGGACGCGGAGGAGGATGAGGATGGTTCTGGCTCGGGAGCGGGGGGGGGAACGTCGGCCTGGAATCGGCGATGCATCGCCGATCAATCAGCGATGGGTCCCCGATTGCGAGACCGCGCGTTTCTCGGCAGGGTTGGATTATCAGGCCCATGGCGACGGGCGATTGGGGGTCGATGCGTTCACCCCTGAACCTATCCTGAAGGGATGGAGGCTGGTTAGGCTCTGGGTAAGGCGCGGACAGACCACCAAGGGAGTCCCAGCCGGCCTCAGCAGGCCCCCCGAATAGTCCCCGCTGGCTTCAAAAGGCCCCCCAAGTAGCCCGGGGTAGTGTCAACACCTCAGCCATGGGGCACGGAACCCCCAGAGGCGCGGCTGGAGGCGGCACGGGGGTGTTGAGACCGCCCTGGAGTACTCGGGGAGCCTGTCGACGAGAGTCGGGATCACCCGGGGCCCTGTTGAGGCCAGCAAGGACTGCCTGGGACCGTGCGCAACCCGGAGCCTGACCATGTGTGGACGATGTTTCCCCCACCTCTTCCTCCTCTTCCTCCTCCTCCTCCTCCTCCTCCTCTTCCTCCTTCTCCTCCTCCTTTTGAAATGTCCATACCTAAGTCAGCGACTGTGGCGTCCTTGCCAAAACACTGAAAAAAAACACGACTCGGCGCACAGGGTACCTGGCGGGCGCCGCGGAAAAGGTGGGAGAGAGAGGCAGCGACAAGAATGGAAAAGCAGCAGGCGCCCGCCAGGTACTGCAGCATGTACCCTAGTAAAATATCCTCATCCTCTTCTTCCTCCTTTTTTTTCCTCCTCTTCCTCGTCCTCTTCCTCTTCATCTTCATCTTCTCTTCCTCCTCTTCCTCTTCATCTTCCTCTTCTTCTTCCGCCTCCTCCTCCTCCACCTCCGAGCCAGAACCCCTCTATCGCTCCCCTCTTGGGGAGCGCCCTCCTCATCGTCCTCCGCGCCCCGGGCCTGGCGCGGAGCGCCGAAGGGGGCGCCGCCGCCCGTGCTGCCACCCGCGGCCAAGCCAGCCGCGCGCAAAACAAAACCCCAAACCGAGGCCCTCGCTCTGTCGGGGTGCTCGGGCGCTGCCCGCTTGGGGGCGCCGAGGCGGGCCCGCGGGCAGCGCGCGCAGCAAGAGGCGACAGCACCCCCCTGGCTTGGGGTCGGACATGTCCTCCTACAGGCGGATTGTGAAAGAACAATGAAACATAGTCAACAAGTATTCAACATATCAAGATACTGTAAAATATAGTTCCCATCTTATGTTTGACTAGTGTTTAATATATATATATATATATATATATATATACATACATATATATATACACATATATATATATATGTATATGTGTGTATACGCATATCTGTAAAAAACATACATATTCCTCCTATAGAGGGACACGCCCGATTCAACACTTGCCTTTGTGGGGGTGTTGCTGGATGCGCCCCTGGCCCAAGGTGCCCCCCAGGATTCCCGGGCTGGCCCGGACGGCTTCCAGAGCACCCCTCACGAGGCCCAGAGGGCCCCAGGGGCTCCAGCATGGAGCGAAAAGCTGGGGGCCCCTTGGGCCAGCAGCACTTCTAGCAACACCAGATCAGTTACGGAACCCACACAGGACGCACGCGCCAAGCCACGTACATGAATACGAACCCCCCAGTGCGCGAGGTCAGCCTCAGACCACGAGAAACCAACGTGGATTAATTTACGTGTGCGTCCTTCTTCCGCTCCTGACTAGTGATCTAGTGTTAGGTCGGGCATGTCCCCCTACAGGCGGATTCTGCGAAACATAAAAAATTCTCGAACAATATTCCAAAAAGATCAAAACAAACTAAACAACATCGTCCCCTGACTATTTTTCGACTACTTGGGAATACTCCTCCTGTAGAGGGACAGGCCCGACTGAAGTCCAGTGGTGACCCCCCTGCCCACACATCCTCCGACACAGCCTTTCGCCACTCCGCGGTCGCAGGAGCGCCCGCCCACTTCCCATGCAGGATCCATGTGGGGTGAATTTCCGTCGCGGATCCGTGTCGGATCCGTGGCCCTGGGGCCCGAGCACAGGCCCGGGGGGCCGAGGTCGTGGAGGCACGCCCGGGCTGCACAAGCCATGCCCTCGGAGATCCGGGTCCTGGGCGCTGCCTGACATCGGGGGCGTCCACGGGGGGCGGTCGCTACCCATGGCTCGAAGCTCGTGCTCGGACGAAGGCGGGGGGGGCCCAGGGGGGCGCGTTGAAAGAAGAGGAGAGGGCCATTCAATCCGGGGAGATTTCATGGCCGCGGTCAGGACACCCTGTCCCCCCCTCACGTGGACCCCCAGAGGTCTCGACCCGTTCCCTGGGACCCGCTTTTCATCCTGATCCGTTCCTGTTGATGGCCCCGACATCCGGCGCGAAGGCCCTCATAATTTGAAAACCACAAAAACTATCCTGTCGCCATGCTTGTCACGGCGCAAAGGGGTCTGGGTCCAGGCGCCCCCGATGATGGGGAAGGGGCGGAGCGGCGGTGCGGACCGATCTGGCGATGCAATTTTTTCCGTCCGCTTCCCCGGAGGTCCCGACCCTGTCCAGGGGGACAATATTTCTCCCCCAGGCCAGGCAATCCCAAAGGAGGTCACCAGGGACAATCCTTCTCTGGATGGGACAATAATCGCCCCCCCCCCCCCCCCCCCGCGGATCCGCAGAGAGGATTGGGCACTTGCTGTCGGAAAGGGTGGAAGGGGCTTGGGGGAGTAGGAGGAGGAGGAGGAGGAGGAGGAGGAGGAGGAGAAGGAGGAGGAGGAGGAGGAGGCGAGGGAGGAGGAGGAGGAAAAGGATGAGGCGGAGGAGGAGGCGGGGGAGGACGATGAAGAGGAGGAGGAGGAAGAAGAAGAAAAAGGGGGGACAGGGACGAACATGAGGAGGAGGGTGAGGAGGAAGAGGAGGAGAATAATGAGGAGGAGCTCCAGGCCCAGCAGGGGAGGAGGCCAGCAACAGGGGCAGCGAAGAGCGGGAAGAGTCCGAAGTCCCACCCGACCCGTGGAGTCCGAAGTCCCACCCGTGTAGAACCCCCTCACATCTGCATTCAGCCTGGCCATGGCTCGGGCCCGAGCTCTCATGATTCCTTTCCCGACGTCAGCCCCGCGGAAGCCTTTGCCTCTCATACTCTGCCGAGTGCTAAGCAAGATATCGATGGCACGTCATGGAACTCATCGGGGCGGGACTACTGCCGTACCTGGAATCATAGTGCTCACTGGGAACACGATATACCCGAACAGCTCTCGCAAACGCAGACCAGCCCTCACGAAGGTGCCCCCGAAACAGAGCGAGCATCAAGGAAACCTGTTCGGTCATGGACGCAGCCCCCCCTCTCCTTCCTGTTCATGGCTGTTTCAGCGGCCTCATCGAATAAAACATATTATTCGGGTCACGCAGCCCAGGGCAAGGGTCGCTGCTGAGGTGCGACTGCCTTGTGAACTCCACCGCCGCCTCTTCAAACACACGTAGCCTGCATTCCCATGTTGGCATGCTCCTGGCTCCTGAGCCTTTTTTCCCCTCCAGGTTGCAAGACGACAAAAAAACGCCGCGTGGTCCGTTGGAACAGCGTCACAGCTGATGACACGCAGGGCCCCCGAGAGAGGCTGTATCTGCAATGGCGCGGTTGTGGGAATACCGGAACATATTCGACACGAGCGGCCCAGAAGACCAGGTGTCCACGTTGCGCGTGCCTTCGCGCGTACACGCTCTGGCGAATCTCATCCATGCCAGGGAGAACCACACCAACCCGTCCACGAATCAATGGCTGGAGGTCATGCAGACGAGTGCGCATCAAGCTGGCCAGGCCACCAGCGTTGCCAGACTTGCAGAATGTGCCCCAAGAGCGAAAGTGCGAGACGGAACGCCGAAACGAGATTAGGCTATATCGGGTCCCGTGGGTCTCCTGGAGAACGAACACATCGTACTTCTGAGTAAGGTGACGAGAGCGACCATGTGCATCGAAGTGATGAGTCTTGTGGCATCCCAAAACACTTCCAACGTATGTCTGCCTGTTCCAGGTTACGATAGAAAACCTAGAGGGAGAAAGCAAAGGACAACAACCGAAACTGACAGGTGGCATGGGTGGTCCCCTGACTCGAATTCAGCGTCAGAGCTATCGGCAGAGCTGCTGCTCCGCTTTGCCGAGGAGAAATAAGAAGAGGTCCCGCTCGACCCAGACGAGGACGAGGAAGAGCTGGACGAGAAGGAGCACAGCGAAGCAGCACAGGAACCACTATCGCGACAACGTCTACACGGCGTTCCCTCTGCCATCCAGCTCTGCATGACGTGGGAAGAGACTGCCCAGGAACATCACTGTGGACCTCATCAATCGAACTCTGGATCTTACTTGGTTGGCCCAATAATGTCATTTCCTGCTCCCGGTACGTCTTGAACGTCCATACCTGCGCATCCGAAACCTTGGTCTCATACAGCTCGAAGATGTCGTCGCCCGAGATCCAGCTGACGATACCATGGTAGCCATTGCAGCCCAGCTTGTAGCCAAACATCTCAATACCTGAAGCTCTCAGTAGCTGCATGGTGCGCTCCCAGAATGACGCAGTCGCACGCTGACGCGCGCAGACGTCGAGCGGAAGACCGCCTTTGAATATGATGGCGTGCACTCGATGGTCTCTGGGGTCGGTCCATTAGCTGGCGGTCCACAAAAAAACTCTGGAACTCACGTGCGACCACCGCGGTCCACCCAGCGCCTGAGCTTCTTCCCAGGCGCCTCGCCACGTCATGCTTTCGGAGCCGAACTCGGCTCCGCCGAATTAAACGTTGGCAGACACAACTGGGCGGCTCACGAGCTCGGCCACCTTCGCGCCCCGGGCCTCGATCTGGCTGTCAACTGCCGCCGACACCACCGTATGAAACGCCTGCGTGATCGCACCCATATGACTGCGCTCGATGTCCTCCATCCTGCTGTTCAGAATGCCGATGATTACCTCCTGGTCTGCAAAGGGCTGCGCAAGGTCCGACACCTCCTGCTGCATCGATTGTTCCGGGCGCGCGATCTGATTGCCCGTCTCCCGCATCTTTCCGATTAGCTGGTGCCTCATCCGGCGCAGCCGCAGCCCCTCTGGGCGGAGTAGCAACGAACGTCGATCCCCGACGTCGCCGACTGTCGTACCTCGAACTCTCCGTACGCGATCTGTCTCGACTGTCCGATGGCGGCCTGCTGCGTGCACTTCTCGATTGGCTCAAAAAATAATGCTCGAACGACTCATCATGCTGACGGCAGCCTCTCTCTTCTCGGGAGCGGCCAAGAAGGGGGTGTCCAAGAGGGGGGGTGCAAATCATGACCGGCGGCATGTGCGCGGCCCAGCGGGGGGGCCAGGGACGTAATGAAACAAGAAGAGGCGCCATGAGATCTGCGGAGATATCATGGCCCGCGCCATGATATCCCCCCCCCCCCTAGTCATCACCCCCCCTCTTTGCCGCCCCCGACCTTCTCCCCCTCGCTGCCACGCGGCGCCATCGCTGCAGCACCGGGGCCCCCAGGCGCGATGCGAGGAGTGGCCGGGAGCGGGCTGCCCCCACGGGGAGCGGCAGGGGTCGCCGGTCGACCACCAGGCGCTGGACGCCTCGGGCCGCCCCCGTGGCGGCGGCCACCCACGAAGCGCCAGGGTCGCGCGTGTCTTACTTGAGAGCCAAAACGGCTACGGAGGAGGAGGAGGAGGAGGAGGAGGAGGAGGAGGAGGGGAGGGAGGAGGAGGAGGAGGAGGAGGAGGAGGATGAGGGGGGGAGGAGGGGAGGAGGAGGGAGGGAGGAGGAGGAGGAGGAGGGAGGGAGGAGGAGGAGGAGGGAGGAGGAGGAGGAGGAGGAGGAGGAGGAGGAGGAGGAGGAGGAGGAGGAGGAGGAGGAGGAGGAGGAGGAGGAGAGGAGGAGGAGGAGGAGGGAGGAGGAGGAGGAGGAGGAGGAGGAGGAGGGGCGGGGGGGATTGTTAGGATCTGTCGGAAGGGCAATCGCTGCCCCGTTGGAAAACAAATTAACAAGTCCAGGGAGGGGCCGCGAACTCCTCGAGGAAGCGGGCCCCGCGGGGAGGCGGCGGAGCGACGGCGCGGGCCGATCTGGGGATAGGCCGGGTCGATGCGGGGCGGGTCGCGCGCGTCGGGGCTGGCGAGGCGCACAGAGCCGCGGCTGGCGGGCCGGAGGTGGCAGACGCTGGCGGTAGGGCTGGGGGCCGGGAGGCCAACCAGCGTCTCTGCTTCACACACGGGTATAATTTTATAACTCTCTCTCTATATATATACACACTTTGTTGTGTGCGTGTGTAAATACATACAAATATACACATAAGTCTATGTCTTAGCCATCGTGGCCCCCAAACAGCAAGTCGTTGCGGTGTGGAGTGTGCGCTACGCGATGCAATCTACGTGGAGCACGCCATGTGGTGTATGTGGTGCAACCTCGAAAGGCCCCCCAAGCGCGTTGGGCGGCAACGAGGCGGCACCGAACGGCGACGCGAGCAAACCTCGACGGACCCATCCACTTCCTAGGTGGCGTCCAAGTGCAAACACAGCGTGGGAAATCTACTCAGATTTTGAAGGCTCTCTCCGCTTCGCATGAAATCTTGGTCCACACATCGCCCATGGGGGTTGAGGGGCCCCAAGGAGCTCGGGAGCAAGCAAGGTTGGAGGAGCTGGGCGCGGGGAGGGACGGGCAAACAGAGGCGAGAACGAGCCCCAATCACAGCTTTTGCCTTTGCTACCCCTCGGGGGGCTGTTTTGAAAGAATGCGCAGGGACTGCTGCTGCGATGCCTAACCCATACACCTATATACATATATGTATATGTAACGCATATTTGTGTACGACAAAATTAAAAACACGTGGCAGCGGATACATGTTCTAATCTATGATGCATGTCGTGGACAACATCAGAGCTTAGCAATGATAGCTGATGACAGTTCGTCCCAGGGAGTCGGAGGCATGAGTGCATTAAACACCTTGCACCTCGCTGGCAACTACATTTACATGCACCATCGTATATGCATACGCATGTACACACATACCGACTTATACGTTCTCCTCCTCCTCCTCGTCATCATCTCCCTGTCCTCCCAAGCCTCCAATGTCTTGGCAAACACCAGGCCGTATTTCCGTAATCGTGTTCGTCGACGTCGCCGATGATAAAAAACAAATCGTCGTATCGTCGCCTGACGTCTTCGGATACATCGCAAATCAAGACGTCGTCGTGTTCGTCCTCGGGGGGGTCCTCGCTGAAACCCGGGGACGTCAGAACACTGCTGGGCTTAAACGCTGGCCCTTTGGGGAAGGGTCGGCGCTTCCAGAACCTGGCATTGAAAAAGAAATGCGCCGGATTCTTGGATCCTCGTCTCCCTCTCGTCTCCTCTGCCCTGTCTCCTCTCCCTCTTTGTTTGCACACGGCGCCGCTCCCCGTGCTGCCTGGGCTGGTGCGCTGTCCGAAGGTCTGAGTGTGTGTGTGTGTGTTGCGTGGATGTGCCTCAGGGGTGTCTGGGCGCTTGCATCGCGAACAACGCAGTCTGGTAAAGTGCGGCAGATCTTGCGCGACACGCGCTTCGGGCACTCTGAATCATAATGGCCTTTGCTCCCCATCGCTCGCCTACGTCTCACGTCTCGTGCCCGTTCACGCTCTCGTTTCCCTGCTTAGCGCCTTCTCTCCTGCTCATTGACCCCTTCTCTCTCTCTTGCCCTTCCACCCCCTTGTCTCCACAATCAACTTATCCCCCGTCCCCCGTCTGCCCTCTCCTTGTCCTCCGTCGACCACTTGTCCTGCCTACTGGCGGGGCCACGAGCAAAAAAGAAATCTCAGCCGAGAAAGCCCGGACCAGCTCGTTACCGAAGTCTCGTGCGAAGGCGGGGCCAGACTCGCGAGTGAGGCTCCGTGCACGAAGAAACACTGAGACTGGACTGGCGTCCCCGAAGAGTCCCAATGCAATCGCTGCGCTGGCACAAGGAAGGAGATCTCGTACAGTGGCACAATCTGGCAAGAACTACCCTCCAGCGGAACGCCTTTCCCCGCTTTGGCACCAGGCTGCCGCGCTGGAGGAAAAGCCTTTTATCAGCGGCGAGCGAGTGGGGGGACGTGAGGAGGAGAAAGCATTCTCGGAAGGCGGCGAGGATTCTCACACGCCCTAGCGCCTTCTGACACATGCTCTGCGCCTTCGGAGAAGGCTCCGACAACTTTTCTCAGAAGGCAGAGGGACCTCCGAGCCTCTCGAGAAGGCTTTCCCCTTCTCCCGGTCCCCTTCTCCGGCTCGCCGTCGACCTTGGAGGGCCCGAGGAGCCCCGGGGCCCTCGCGAAGCCCGGGTGAGGGGGGGGGCGAGAGACGTGGCCACGGGAGGACGCGGGGGCAAGAGCACGCACCCCCTCGCCAAGGGCTGGCTATCACGGCCCCACGGAGGTGCACCCCCCCCCCCGCAAAACGCGTTCCGGGGCGGAGAACCCGAGCATGACTTCTAGTTTATCAGCCTCGAACTTATCCCTATCCCTAAGATTGACCTGCCAAAAGGCGATGACAATCTTAGGGATTCGCCTCCAAAAAATGCGGGAATCCCTAAGATTGGCATCGTGATGAGGAGATGCCCAGCATAGGATAGGGATATGTTCCAGGCTGGTAAGTAGTGGCCCCGCCACAGCCCAGAGCTGGAGCAGTCTTAACCCTCGTGCCAGCTGCCCGCAATGTTTACCAAAGCGCCTCCGAACTTGACAGGAACATCCGCCTGCGGTGGAGCACCAGGTCGGCTGCACGCAGGAGTGCCAGAGTGGCCTCTGGTGAATGGGTTGCTGAACGCTGCAGGCGGCGCTTGCACCGCGAAGGCCGTGTACAGAGAGGTCACTGCGGCGAATGGTCGCTAGGCTTTCGTGTCATAACTCGGGTCTCGGGATGCCGTTCGCGATTATCCGGGTACCCCCCGAACGCTCGCGGCAAGGTGCAGCCACTGGAACGCATCCCGAGGCAAGGAAACCTCCAGAAACCGAGAAAAACGCTTGAAGCTCCAAAACTATAACCAAAGCTCACTCCGACGGATGACCACTCTCGCGTGTAGCCGACTCCACTGGCATCACCGCGGGAGGTGCTAAGAGAATAGGAGGGTTATAAGTGAATGCTACGGTTGGTATATCTCGTCCAACCTAGCTTACAAGTAGATCACATGTGCCCTAAGTGTTTTAGAAATTGGTTTAGAGTGGTTAGAGAATTCCGCTAAATGGGCGGAGCGCACTTTACCCAGATCGTTACCCGCTGGGCCACTCAGGGCGCCTGTCATCCTCTTGTAAGCCAGGCTAGGCCAGATAAAGGCTACCTTAGCATCCGCTTGTAGCCCCCCCCCCTTAGCAACCCCCGCGGTGATGCACTCGGCTACACGCAAGAGTGACCCTAGGCAAGAGTGGCCTTCGGTGCAAGACTTTCGGGGGGCGCGGGGGTGCCAAACCCGAGCGCAGGAGCCGCTGCCAAAGCATCGCATGCAGCCATCTGGGGACCCAAGTGTGCCTGCACCAGGGGTCATTTTGGCGAAAAGCCACTCTGACGTGTATCGGCGGTGGGCAAACCTCCCTTTAGTAAACCTCCCCTTAGTGAAAACGGCCTGAGACCGAAACCGACGGACCCGGACCCGCAAACATGACGGCCGCGCCGCCCTCTCGCGAACCGATCACGGCCAAGTCCTTAATCGACGTGTCAGGGTAGGAGGTCTGCCCACCCCCGAGTGTACACCCTGCGAAATGCTTAAGACATCATGGGTTAAGAAATTCATAGTCTCAGAACTTGAACAAAAACCCAACATGTCCATTAAAATCTTAAGATTTACATTGAAACGTTAAGAATGATCGAGACTCTGGCCGAAAACTTAAGTTTTCTTAAGCATCGCCTAAGGTGTAGCCGATCCAGGCAGGGAGGCTCCACCGCACGGGCCTCCCGGACCCCGGTAAGGCCGGGCCACGGGTGCAGGGGCTGCTCCCAGCTGTCCAGGGAGAGGGGCTGCACGTGCCACTGCAGGTCCGGCGCCCGGACGTCGCCCGAGCTCCTCGCAAAGACGCCCAGCTGCGACGGCGCCATGCTCATCGGCCCGCTCTGGAACAGCGCGTACTCCAGCGCGATCCTCGCCTTCAGGCAGCCAGAATCAGAACGCACGAGCTTAGACAGCCATTACCTGGGACAGATCACGACGGGGGCTTTTTCATAGCTTGCAGCCCCTGGGGGCCCTCGACGCACCCTGGGACCACCCGACAAACAGACTTGGGGATTATAGCCATCTCTGGAGAGAGGATCGGGGGCCTCCTGCTGACCCCGCAGTGGAAAATTCAGTGAATCGGATATATGAGCACTTTCTGTGGTCCGCGCTGGTTCCTTGGGTCGGCTCTGCCCGCCCCCTCACAGCCATTCCCTGGGCGGCGCCTCTGGCGTCGCTTCTGGAGCTCTCCGCTCGCCAGGGAAGGGATGGCACAGCGCGAGCCCGAGAAATCTGCGCGGACCTCCGGTCTGTTTTGTTTACGTCTGTGGATGCTTATGTTCATGATACCTTTTCAGAGAAAACTCCTGCAGCAGTTCGCTCGCACTGACCAGGGGGGCGGGCGTGGCGAGGCCCTGCATGAAATCTGGACTTCGCGCAAGTCGCGATTCCCTTGCACGCAGCTTCGGCCCAGCGCCGTCTGAAAAGGCGGCGGAGGAGGGGCGGGGAGCGAAATGCCATGCAAGAAAGCCTGCCAGGGTCTGAAGTACAACGCCTTCTTCTGCAACTAGTGCTCCTCGGGCCTTCCCGAGCAGAGAGCTCGCCCGGGAGTTCAGGGTGTCGACGCCGTCGCGGAGCCTGAAACACATGCGGATCTGCAGGTGGTCGTGGAGGTTCTCGCCCACGCCAGGCACGTCGGCCACAGTGGCTATCCCGTGCTCTCGCAGCAGTCTGTCGTCGCCGATGCCGGAGCACTGCAGCAGGTGCGGACTGCCGACCGAGGAGGGCCGGGACATGTAGCAGCAGGGAGGGACGACGCGACCACCATCATGCGGAGCGAGGGGGGGTACTTCAGTGGGAACGTTAAGGGGGGACTGACTCAGGGGGAGGATCGGGGGCGCGCAAACATGGGCTACCGATCCATGGAATTGGCGCGCGGTCGCAAAATCCATGGATCGGGGGAGGTGCCCTCCCCAACATGTGGCCGGTGCCGCCTCGCTCGGCGGCGGAGAGCCGCCATTTCCCATGGAGGCGGGACCCGACGCTAATCCACGCCCCCACTGGTCCACGTTTGCGCTCGCCTGAAGAGGAGCATCGGGCTGGAATCGGCGATGCCTCGCCGAGAAGAAGTCGGTGATGGGCACCCGGGAGCGAAGCCGCACGCTCCTGGGCGGGGCGCGGCGATCGGCCCCCGGTATCGGACATCGGCGGGCGATTGTTGGGGTCGAGGCGTCCCTGCCCCTGAGCCCGGCCCCCCCCCTTTACGTTGCCCCCGAACGGTGCTGAACCTGTGGTCCCCCCAGATTTGCGGCGCGTGGCTGTCGTCGTCGTCGTCGTCGTCGTCGGAGGAGGAGGAGGAGGAGGAAGAGGAGGAGGAGGAGGAGCAGGAGGAGGAGGAGGAGGAGGAGGAGGATCAGGACAGGAGTAGCAGGAGCAGGAGAAGGAGCAGGAGGAGGAGCAGGGGGAGGCGAAGGAGCAAAGCTGCAACTGTGGTCCCAAGAGGTCGTCACGAAGGCAACCCAGGAAGAAAGGAGACATGGCTGCGTTCATGTTGTAGGGTTGTCAAAGAGTGTCGATCGCACACCCGCGTTGGCGGGCATGTTCAATGACCCTCTCGGGGGTCCTCGTGGGGAGCCTCGGGAACCCAACGGGGCTGGTGTGACACCGTGCTGGCCCCGTGACCAAAGGGGGCGATGTGAACCCGCGTTGGCCACGACGGCCACGAGGCGCCTGCCTCCTTAGACTGGCTCCCGACTCGGGAACCTAGTCACAGACTGCTGTCATCATCGTGCTGCTGGCTGACTGGCATCGCCCCTGCCATGCCGGCGCCGACGCTGCCTGCCGTCGCGCGCGCAGCGGTGCCACCCGAAGGGCCTCCGCCACTCGCAGTGCCACCTGCGGAGTCTCTGCTTGCGACGCCGCCCAGAGAGCCTCCGCTGGCGGTGGCCTGGGCTGCGGCGAAGCGCGCTGCAGACAGCATTGCCGCCTCCTTCTTCAGCCGCCCCTCGTCGTCCACGTTGGTGCCCACCGCCTCGCTGTCCACAGGCGCCTGTTCCTTCAGCCCGTCCATCTTCGCGTCGTCCTCGCACCTCCTCTTCTTGGTCATGCGCTCGGTGACCTCCTTTTCTATCTGCGCCACCCTCCCGAGGAAGGCCTCGATCTCGCTTCCCTTGTGTTCGAACTCCGACTTGTAACCCTCCAGCTGCGCCTGACGGGCACACACTTGCTGTCGTCCGTCCCATAGCACTCCCATTGCTCGAACTTGTCAGTGACCTCGCTGGTGACGCGCAGCTCGGAGGCGGGGTCGCCCTTGCCCGCCGTGTCCTCCAGCGCCGCTTCCTTGGAAACGGCCGCAGACAACCCTTCAGCTAGAGCCATCGCCAACGCGGCCCTTTTTCTTCGCCTCTGCACTCGCCAGCTCCACCGAAACTGCCTTCTCCTTGCTCTTCGCGTTCTGGAATTGCGTCCTTGGACGCAAGACCTGCGTGACGACCTGCTCGTGGCGGTGCGCTGCCCGGCGCCACGCCCCATCCGTGCGGCGGACGATATCCGCCACGGACTTGGTGGCCTCCTGCGCGACGCGCTCCGCCAGCTTCTGGCTCTGCGCCTTCAACGCCTTCCTCATCTCATTGTTGTCAGCGGCCTGAACGGCCTGGTCCAAGAGCTCGGCGAGCTGCTGCTCGAGACAGTCTGGCTTCCTCCATGATGCTGTTCATTGCGCCCACGCCGATGAATTCGACCTGGCCCGCGAACGACATTCGCTTGTCAATGCTGACAAGTGAAGCCGATCGCGGGCGGAAGACACGGACCTTCTTCCCGCGGTGGCCGCTCTTGCAGTTGTTCTTCGTCAATTTTTCGCTGTATCCAAGCTTCTTGCAATGAGCAAAATAGTTTCATGGTCTGCTGGTGACCGTCATGGCTCTAAAAACTCCTGCTTTCGTCGACTCCCCTCCTGTGGGCAGTAGACTCGGGAGCAGGTATTCAAGCAGCACTGTAAGGTACACAAGAGCAGGTTCATTCAAAATGCTCGAACCGAAATGGACAGAGGGGAGAAGAGAAGGAGAAGAAAGAGGTGAAGGAGGACCGCCCCGAGACTCAGAATCACCTCTTTCCGAGCCCTGACCACGCACGGCACGTCGGTGTCCTGTCGACCGTGGTCCCCGTGTTTCTTCACGAGGTTGGTGTGGTCGACAACCATGGCGCGAACCTTGGGAGCCCCAGAGCCGTCGGGTGACGACTGCAAACCTCCGACGTCGTGTTTCTCTGTGTGTATGTGTGTGTGTGTGTGTGTGTGCGTGCGTGCGTGCGTGCGTGCGTGCGCGTGCGCGTGCGCGTGCGCGTGCGCGTGCGCGTGCGTGCGTGCGTGCGTGCGTGCGTGCGTGTGTGTGTGTGTGTATGTTGCCTTTCCGCCGGAGCAGTCGACCTTTGCCCAGCCGCCGACGCAAAAAGTGTGTGTGCGTTTTCGATAACGCTCGATCGCAATTGGCATTTCCATCTGTTGCCCGCGCTTGAGGACCCCCTGTGCCGCCGACTTAAGGTGTGTGTGTGTGTGTGCGTGTGTCTGTATGTGTGCGTGTGTGTGGAAAAGGGGGGGGCGGGTCGTGCTCGGCCTCTGGAAGTAGGTTTCCTGAGGCCTCCCGGATGGGGTCGGAATAGATGGGGGTCGGAGGATTGCGCCGCATCGACGGGACACCACGGATGCATCGGCGAAGTCCGCGATGCATCGGCGACGCCGGTGCGGAGGAAATCAGGCTCCATATCGCTCCGCATCGCCGATGCATCGGCGATGTGGCCCAATCCGCCGACCCCATCTTCTCCGACCCCATCCGGGAGGCCTAGGGTTTCGGGGCCCACAGACAGACACAGCCGCGCCCAGACGGCTCACTGGCAGGGAGAGCGGCGACGGCGGCGGCGACCCCGGGCACATGCAACAGCTCTAAATAAAAGGTTGCATTGCAGACGGCTGGATCGCAGACCATTGGAAGACTTTGTGCCCAAGCAGGGGAGGGCGCTGCGCTGGCATGCAGACAACACAGGGAGGGAGACGGAAGGGAGGGAAGGAAGGGGAAGGGAAGAAGGGAAGTAAAGAAACACATCGCTCCAAGTTCCGCATCTGTTGACGGCGGCACGCTCTTCCTCCTCGTTTCCTAACAACCCGCGCAGCCTGTCGGGGTTCCGCCTGGAACGTTTTGGCAAACAACTCGTAGGGTTCAGGACGAGCCGGCCACATAAGAGCAGTTGGCGCTGCAACAAGCCATCATGACATTGCTGCGAACGTGAACTGTGCAACAAGATAGCGCGCGCGAGGAACACTTGCAAGTGCTTGTTTGGTTGTTTTCTAACCGCCGTGTTTGGGATGTATCTAGCTTCGCCCCGTCCGCTTGCAGCAGCATGGGCAGTCCGAGGCCACAGAGCAATTCAGAACACATCAGCACGCACAAGAACCTCGCTCTTGCGCTGCTGGCTGGAATTGGCGCAGTTGCGCACTTTGCGATCTTTCCCAAATGCTTCCTTTGCCTCTCCGAGGCGCTTGGTCAACTCATTCCTGGGTTGGCCGTCGACGCTGACGAGCCAACCCGAAATACACTTAGGTCGGGCATGTCCTCCTACAGGCGGAAGTTGGAGGAAAAATCAAGCATACCCCCAAACATATTTGAACATACTCTAGATAGTAAAGAAAAATCGCTCCAGACTAATTTGTTGAATAACTTGTTTTGCATATTCCTCCTGCAGAGGGACAGGCCCGACTCTAAAAATACACTGCACCGTTGTGGCACGGGGTGGGGCCCGCCAAAGACGACGGGCGCAGCTGGTCCCTGCGGATTGGAGTCGAGGGCTCCAGGGCCCACGCATCGAACGAAACCACAACGACGCCCGCGCTTCCTCCTCCTCCTCCTCCTCCCCCTCCTCCTCATCCTCCCTCTCCTCCTCCTCCCCCTCCTCCTCCTCCTGCTCCCCCTCCTCCTCTTCCTCCTCCTCCTCCTCCTCCTCCTCCTGCTTCTTCTCCTCCTCCTCCTCCTCCTCCTCCTAGTTTCCCTCCTCCTCCTCTTCCTCCTCCTCCTCCTCGTTCCCCTCCTCCTTCTCCTCCTCCTCCTCCTCCTGCGCTCGTGGCGCCCGCGGGAAGCGCCGCTGTCGCTCTCGGAGCCAGCTGCCGCTCACCTGACCGCGTGCCCAGCGGGCCGCTGCAATCGGACCTAGGCCAGACAAAGCATCCCGCAAGAGCACGAGGACCCCCGGCGACCAAAACAATCAGAACATCCAGGAATCCAAGGGTCCCCCCTCCCCAGGATGCACAAGAGCATCCCGCGAAAACGAAGAACACGAGGGCACCCTCTCCGAATCGACCTCGATCTTGTACCTCAGTCCGACCGTACACCCTCGGCCTTGCGCCGGAGCGATCCTGGACAGCGGGCGACCTCTGGTGCGCAGCCTGCCTTCCGCTGGATGCGGGCCCACGCCCAGCGACACCCGCGCACCAGAGTTCGGCCGGGCATGTCCTCCTACAGGCGGATTTTGGGCGAAAAATGAAGAACCAACAAAAAAATGCCAAGATAGTGAAGAAATGATAGATCAAGCGTCCCCCGACCAATTCATGGACCCTTTTTGAATATTCTTCCTGTAGAGAGACACGCCCTACTTAACACCAGAAATCGCCCAACTTTCGGGGCGTTTAGCTCGCGTCCTCGGGCGACCGTCCGGGACGGGATCTGGGCGCTCCCTTGGAACGCCCTGGGCGAGGCGCAGCTGCTGGAACGCACCCCGCTGCTGCTTTGTTCACGGCGCTCGGCACGGTAATGTTCGGCGCGCCGCGATTCGCGAAGCAAGGCGCGCAAAGATGAATATCTTTGTTGTTTGTTGTCGGCGAACCCCTCGTTGTCAACACGTGTTGGCGTGTTCGACCTATCTATCATCGAGCGTTGGCCTGCTTCCTTCTCGTTGCCAATTTGTGCGGCCGCGATCTGGGGGTCCACTGGGGCAGAGACTGCCCAAACCCTTTGCTTAAGCAACAGTGACTCGACGGAATGGTCTGAAAAACCCAGACCTTCGACTCGTCGGACAAACCCGGGTCAGTCAAGCGTTGCAGGATTCTGCAAGATCCTGCAGGATCCTGCACCCAAAACAGGGTCAGTGCACCCCTGGCTCTGCAGGATCCTGCAAGATCCGCCGCTCTGACTGACCCCCGTTTGCATTGACCCACGTCTCTTGAGCCCCGAGACCTCGAACCAGAGGTAGTTCCGGCCAAGGGCCACTCTTGCGTGTGTAGCTTGGGCATTGCTCGATAGTGGGGCGTCGATCTGAATGAGGGGGCGCGGAGAGGTGCACCTTCAGTGCAGCCAGTGGGGCCCCTTTAGAACCCATTCCCTGCAATTCTCGATCCACCCCCCATTTATTAGAGGCCTTCTAGATGGGTCGGATTAAAGGTGGTCGGAGCAGATGTGGTCGGAGGATCGCGCCGCATCGCCGATCCATCGCCGATGCATCGGCGATGCATTATTGATGCACCGGCGATGCATCGCCGGCGTCGGCGATGCACCGGCGACGTCGACGTGAAGCACATCGGGCTCCACATAGAGCCGCATCGGCGATGCATCGTCGATGTGGCGGAATCCTCCGACCCCATCGACTCCGACACCATCTGCTGGGAGGCCTAGATTTACCGCCCCCATCGACTCCATCGACTCCGACTCCATCGACTCCGATTAGCGGCGCGCAGAAGGGAGTGGAGGGAGGGGGGAAGGCTTCTTAGAAGGATGCTGCTTCTTAGAAGGCGCCGGCCTTACATCTATACAGAAGGACCGCGCCTTCTAAGAAGCAGGGGTGCTTCTAAGAAGCCTTCCCCCCTCCCCCCTACCCCCCTCTGCGCGTGGCCGATCCGATCCCATCTACTCCGACCGCACCTGGGAGGCCTAGATGTATCGCCCCCCCTCTTGTGAAGCACCCGAGTGGCCGACGCTTCGGGCCGCCCGGGCGCCGTCTCCCGCGCCGTGTCCCGGCGGGCCCTCTGCCAGAACTCCACCCCCGAGGCGCGGAGGGAGCCCGTGGCCGGGTCCTCGCCGACGAGGACCCGGCCGGCGTGGGCGTGGGTGAGGACGGTCAAGTTCGGTCTGCGCTCCTGAGGGGGGGGGGATGGGCAACGATCCCAGAGCCCCCTCGCGTCATGAAAAGATCCACGGCTTCCAGGTTTTGGCTGTGTCCGGCCTCTGGGAGCCCTCACCGAGAGCCCCAGGGCCGCCAGAAAACAACGCTCGGGAGGAGAACCTCGGCTCTCTAGGCAAGCGGTCGACATCTCCTGCTCCTCCTCCTTTTCTTCTTCCCCCTCCTCCTCCTCCTCCTCCTCCTCCTCCTCCTCCTCCTCCTCCTCCCTCCCTCCTCCTCCTCCTCCTCCTCCTCCTCCTCCTCCTCCTCCTCCTCCCCCTCCTCTTCTTCTCCTTCCTCCTCCTCCTCCTCCTCTCCGCCTCCTCCTCCTTCTCCCCCCCATCCTCTTCTTCCTCCTCCTCCTCCTCCTCCTCCTCCTCCTCCTCCTCCTCCTCCTCAGGGGGGTGCACGCGGTGAACCAACCCAAACATCTGGGGGTCTGAGGTGAGGAGGGGGGGCCGGCTCGGGGTAGGGAACCCACCAGCTGGCAGTAGGTTGGGCATGCCCCCCCTACACAGGCGGATTTTGTGTGAAAAATCAGCAAAGTAAATTAGCCTGGCGAAGGACCCAACCATATGCAGTTGAGAGTACCGCAATTGTGAATATCTTCTTCGGTGGCGCTCCCTATGGGGCCACGAGCCGTATGAGGGGTGTGCCGAAATGCGTGGCAGTGTACACAACACGAACGAAGACGATAGGTCCGAATATGAAAGCTTGAGCGCGTGCGAGTCGGATCGCGAGCGAGTCTGATTATGAATGAATCTGCGCGCGATTGATTCTATTCGCATGAATGCGTGCATGGATACGCCCAGTGTAAATGTATGTATACGACTGTGAACAGTTTGGGTCTGCGTGACTCTCGGTACTCGTGACTCTGAGCGTCGCCTCTGCAGGGGGCTTCCCTGGGAACCCCGACGGCAGCGCCCGCGCGCCGCGACGCCCATGTCGGCACGCCACACACCTGGTGTGCGGGACGCATGCGGACGGCAGCACTGGGGCCTTCGGTGGAGCTCCCTGTGGGGCCACGAAACGTGTGAGGGGTGTGCCGAAATGGGTGTGCGGGACGCATGCGGACGGCAGCCATGGGGCCTTCGGTGGAGCTCCCTATGGGGCCACGAAACGTGTGAGGGGTGTGCCGAAATGGGTGTGCGGGACGCATGCGGACGGCAGCACTGGGGCCTTCGGTGGAGCTCCCTGTGGGGCCACGAAACGTGTGAGGGGTGTGCCGAAATGGGTGTGCGGGACGCATGCGGACGGCAGCCATGGGGCCTTCGGTGGAGCTCCCTATGGGGCCACGAAACGTGTGAGGGGTGTGCCGAAATGGGTGCGCGGGACGCATGCGGACGGCAGCACAGGGGCCTTCGGTGGAGCTCCCTGTGGGGCCACGAAACGTGTGAGGGGTGTGCCGAAATGGGTGTGCGGGACGCATGCGGACGGCAGCCATGGGGCCTTCGGTGGAGCTCCCTATGGGGCCACGAAACGTGTGAGGGGTGTGCCGAAATGGGTGTGCGGGACGCATGCGGACGGCAGCACTGGGGCCTTCGGTGGAGCTCCCTGTGGGGCCACGAAACGTGTGAGGGGTGTGCCGAAATGGGTGTGCGGGACGCATGCGGACGGCAGCCATGGGGCCTTCGGTGGAGCTCCCTGTGGGGCCACGAAACGTGTGAGGGGTGTGCCGAAATGGGTGTGCGGGACGCATGCGGACGGCAGCCTGGGGCCTTCGGTGGAGCTCCCTGTGGGGCCACGAAACGTGTGAGGGGTGTGCCGAAATGGGTGTGCGGACGCATGCGGACGGCAGCACTGGGGCCTTCGGTGGAGCTCCCTGTGGGGCCACGAAACGTGTGAGGGGTGTGCCGAAATGGTGTGCGGGACGCATGCGGACGGCAGCCATGGGGCCTTCGGTGGAGCTCCCTGTGGGGCCACGAAACGTGTGAGGGGTGTGCCGAAATGGGTGTGCGGGACGCATGCGGACGGCAGCACTGGGGCCTTCGGTGGAGCTCCCTGTGGGGCCACGAAACGTGTGAGGGGTGTGCCGAAATGGGTGTGCGGGACGCATGCGGACGGCAGCCATGGGGCCTTCGGTGGAGCTCCCTATGGGGCCACGAAACGTGTGAGGGGTGTGCCGAAATGGGTGTGCGGGACGCATGCGGACGGCAGCACTGGGGCCTTCGGTGGAGCTCCCTGTGGGGCCACGAAACGTGTGAGGGTGTGCCGAATGGGTGTGCGGGACGCATGCGGACGGCAGCACTGGGGCCTTCGGTGGAGCTCCCTGTGGGGCCACGAACGTGTGAGGGGTGTGCCGAAATGGGTGTGCGGGACGCATGCGGACGGCAGCCATGGGGCCTTCGGTGGAGCTCCCTATGGGGCCACGAAACGCTGTACTGGGCGGGTGAAACGCAGGGAAGAGGGGGAGGAGGGAGGAGGAGGAGGAAGGAGGAAGGAGACGCGGGGCACCGTCTCTTCAAAACGAGGACCCAACACCACAGGATGGTTGGGAAAAAACGGTCGGACATCTTCGAAAAATGTAAAAAAACGTCCCCCGACTATTTTTCGATTTGTTTTTTGATATTCCTCCCGCAGAGGGACACGCCCGACTCAAAACTGGCATCGACGATACATCGCCGACACGCTGGCGCCAAGCCGCCGGGCCCCCGAGACCGCAAGCCCGCACGCTCCTGGGCGGGGTGGGCTCCCAGGCCCCCGTCGGCGACGAATGGGCGATCGAGGGCCGAAAGCTCCCGACAACCGTCGGATTAAGTCGGGCCTGTCCCCCTACAGGCCGATTTTGGGCGAAAAATGAAAAATTGTCAAAACATACGCCCAAATAACAAAAAAATGCTCAAACAAAAAGTCCCCAGTCTATTTTTTACTATCTTTGAATATTCCTTCTGTAGAGGGCCAATCCCGACTTAAAACCGTCGGAAACTTCCCGACCCTTGCGCTTCCTCTCGCGCTGCCCCTGATTGCCTACCAGACCACTCCAATTCAACCCGAAGACCCGAATTTCTGGTTAGGGGGGGGGGCGGTACAGGTTCCATGTGTCTTCTCGATGTTCCCCAACCCCACCCCCCTGAACATCGAGGGCAACTTGAGGCCTTCTGGTTGGGTTGGGGTGGTTTGGTGGGTGGTGAGCCCCTGACCCTTGGACGCCCCCTAGCGCTGCCCCTGAGCACCAGGTCCACAACCGCCCTGGGCGGAAGGAGCGGCTGCCGGTGCCCGGGCAGGCACTCCTTCCCCAGACCCCCGACGTCATGATCTTTTCCTGACGCGACCCCCAAGGGTCTGGACCCGTTCCCGGGGACCGGTTTTTCATCCCGAGTCGTTTTTGTTGACGGTCCCGAGGCCCGGCAAGGCCCCCAGGGGCCGAAAGTAGCGAAAGACCTCCCATCTGGACTTTTTCACGACTCGAAGGGTTCTGGGTCCGCGTCTCGTCCTTCCGCGTCTCCTTCGCGCTCATTCCCTTTGGTGTCCGTTCCATGGGAGCCTGCGTGGCCCCCGGCAATGTCCGATTTGGGGCTGATTTGGACCCGATTTGGAATAAATTTGGACCAGATTTCGAGTGGATGCGCGGGGACTAGAAGAACGAGGAGGAAGAGGGGGAAGCAGGAGGGGAGAGGAGGAGCAGGAGGATGGGCCAAATGCGGCCCCTACGCGGTCCAAATGCAGGAGAAGCTGATTTCAGTGTCGTCGCCCAGCCATGAACAGACATCGAGATTCCCCCTCAGCCGATATACCTAGGTCGGGCCTGTCCCCCCACACGAGGATCTTGGGCGAAACGTTAAAAATACGCAGAATACTCCCACAATGCTTCGAAATAGCCAAAAAATAGTCCCCATACTATTTTGACTATTTCTGAATATCCCTCCTGTAGAGAGCCAGCTAGGCCCGACTTCAACGAGATGCCCCCTGTCCTCGGTCTTCGGCCCACAAGTCGGACTTCCGGCGGCCGATCTGGGACGGTTCCAAGACTAACGCGTACGCCCTCGACGAGGCGCATGCTGGTGGGAGCCACCCTGGGTCTCGGGAATTCCCAGACCCCCTCGCGATGCAAAGAAATCATGACGGACAAAGTTACCTTATTTTCGGCCTCTGGGGGCCCTTACCGGGCCTCGGGACCGTCAAACAACGACTCGGGATGAAGAACTGGTCCCCGGGAATGGGTCTGGACCTCTGGGGTCGCGTCATGAAAAGATCATGACGTCGGGGGTCTGGGTTCAGAACACAACGAGAATTGGTCTATCCGACCCTACCGTTGCCCCCGAGATCCACGGGACGCAGGAAGGCGCGGTACGCGGACTGCCGGACGCCCCGCCGCTGCGTGACCTCGAAGTAGCCCACGCCCTCCGAAGCGGAGTCGTGGAAGTGCGTCCTCGGAAGACGAAGCATACTACAGTGAGGGCGCGGCCGCAAGAAACTGTCGCAAGAAACCCAACCCTGAAAATCCGCGCGCGAGATGCAACTAGGGGGATAACCCAGAGCACCCTCAATGCAACAATATCTTGAATGGCTGCGGGAAGTTGCCGCGCAGCACACGAAGCGACGACACCCAAGGTACCCTGACACAGAACACCTGCTTTCTTGATGCGCGTCTCCACTGTCTGCGAGGCGGGGATCCATCCGTACCCACCACCTAAAAAACGGGCGCCCTGGGGCCCCAGCGTGCTGTGGCTAGCTGTGGATGCACTTCGGCACTGGGTGGCCCGAGCGTATCCATGTCCGCCGCCTGGCGAGGTGCCCGAAGGTGGATCCCCCAGGCGGTGTTTGACCATGGATAATCGTCGGCGCGCGCAAGGGGGAATGGGGGGAGGGAGGCTCCTCAGAAGGAGGCTGCTCCTGAGCAGGCGCGGGCCTCACGTCTGCGGATCAGGCCCGCGCCTCCTGAGCAGCAGGGGTGCTTCCAAGAAGCTCCCCCTCCTGCCCCTACCCCCCCCCCCCATTTGCGCGTGGCCGACTTGTCATATTTTGTTTGTTTTTCTCTCTCTCTCTCTCTATCTCTTTCTCTCTCTCTCTCTCTCTCTCTCTCTCCTTGGAAGCTTGGAAGTGGGCACCAACACCAACACCAATGGTTGCCTCCAAGGAGGAAGAGGATCCTGGATTTTGGAGTTCGTGGTAATCTTTCGGCCACCTCGGAAACCCGAGCATTACCACCATCGCCGAGATCGAGATCATCTTCCCTCAGAGGAAGCACACCGACGATGTTGGTGTTGGTGTCAACCTCTAGGCCTCCGACCTCTCGAGTCCTGCGGGGGATGCCCGCCGCGACGCAGGCGTCCGCGAACCTGTCCAGCACGTCCCACGAGAGCCGCTGCCTGCTCACCTGAAGGGGCCCAGGGACACACAATGAACTACGCACGAGTCCCAGGATTCCCCAATGTTTTCCCATATTTATGGGATGTTCGTCTTCCCCCTCCACTTCCCATATTTTCCCATGTTTCTTGGGGAACCGAGGATGAATTGTGTCCGTGTGTGTGTGTGTGTGTGTGTGTGCTTGTTCTCGCCTGCTCACCGTCTGCGGCCCGCCGCTGCCGCGCGCGCGCCCGTCCGGGCCCACTCGCTCTCCGGCCTGGTAGTCCATGAGGCGGTCGAAGTGGGGGCGCATGGCGTCCCATCCTGGGGGGGGGAAAGGCCAGCGACGGCAAGGACCAAGACTGAGCGCGGAAACGTCGGCGTCGGTCGTGGCCACCGTTCCACCTTGGTCATCGTCAGCTCGTGGGTCGCCCTCGCTAATCGGCGACAGCGATCATGGACCATGACCCAGATCTACATCGACAAGATCCCGCGACATCTTGGCCATGATCATCCTGGTTGTGGGAAGGGCTCGGCGTATACACCACGTCGCCGGGTCGGCCAACGAGCTCGCGCTCGGCGTATAGACGCCCGAGTCTTCCAACCTGCGGGACGCTCAAGCGTCTGTGCCCCAAATTCCTTCGCCGAGCTCTTGCCTCCCTGGCCAGCCAAGCGACGTGGTGTACAAGTCGAGCCCCACCCCCGAGCTTCTCCCTCCGACGTCCCCAGGACTCGTCGCCGAGCAGGTCGCCCCAGTAGTCGTAGTCGTCTGGCTGCCCCATCTGGGCGATCATGCCGTTCACGGCGGCGCAGCCGCCCAGCGTCTCTCGGGGAACGAAGAACGACCCAAACAGAAAAAACTCGGAGGTCCGCGCGGATTTATCGGGTCGGCGCTGGACCCCCCCTGGCGGCGCCTCCGGCGCCGCCCCTGGCGCGTGGAGCGCGCCAGGGAAGGTGTCGGCTACACGCAAGAGTGACCCTGGCTAAGAGTGACCTTCGGTGCGCGGCTGTTGGAGGGCCGCGGGGTGACCAAACACAGGCGCGCAAGACAATACTAGCAATACCATCGCATCGCGTTCGGCTATCGGGGGACCCCAAACGTGCCCGCACCGAAAATCACTCGGGCGAAAGGTCACTCTCACGCCTAGCCGAGAGGGGGGTCCAGCGCCGATCCGAGAACTCCGCGCGGACCTCCGGGTCTTTCTGTCTGTGTCGTGCTCCGTCCCCCTGGTCTTGCCGCGCGGGTAGCCGATGGCCCGGCCGTTCAGGCCAGGCTGGGCCGTGGTGCTGAAGCCCCAGTTGGCGCGGCGCTGCGGCTGGCGCATCATGTACAGGTAGCCCACGGGGATGCTCGGCGGCGCGCACGAGGGGAGGGCGCTGAGGGTGGGGGGGGTAGGGGGGGGACACCACTCCGAGAAGGCAGAGGGGCTTCGCGGGAGGCGGAGGAGGAGGAGGAGGAGGAGGAGGAGGAGGCGGAACAGGAGGAGAGGAGGAGGAGGAGGAGGAGGAGGAGGCGGAACAGGAGGAGGAGGAGGAGGAGGAGGAGGAGGAGGAGGAGGGGACCGAAGGCTTCAGCAGAAGGGCCTCTTGCTCTCAAAGCCAGGGAGCGGCCCTTCTGAGACCCCCGACCTTATAAGAAACACCCCTTCTTAGAGCGTCTTGGAAAGGGAGGGCTCCTACAAGGCCCTTACCTTCATGGAAACTCCTCCGATGCTCAACAACGAATGTTGTCCCAAACTAGCAGCGGCCGCTGCTGGGCAGGCGCCTTCGCAACTCAAGCAGGCAACGACAGGAGCGACACCGACGTCAAGTCCTGCTAAAACTTGGCAGGCACTGCTGTCGGTCTCCGTCCCGATGTTATCCGTAACCACTTCGATCGGCGGAGGCAAGAGTGTGGATAATAGCCAAAGGGCGGGCATTACAGGCATTCGCCAGGGATCCCCGTCGAAGCCATGGATGATCGGAGCCAGTGGATGCGTGTAGCGGCCCGCAATGTGCTACCCGCCGCTTTCCCACCCGCCGACGAGAAGGCCGCCAAATGTGCGCCCAAAGGGGCAACGGATAGCACGCCGTTTGACTCTTGGCCGCCGGGTGCGCCACCTGGGGCGCGACCAATCGCCAGCCGCCACCCTCCTGCCAACCCCCCCCCCTGCACGCCACCTGGGCTGTGCAGAAAATGGTAGTTGTCCCGCCCTCCCGCCTCCAGCACCGCCACCGACGCCCCACCCGCCGACAGCCGGTTGGCCAGCACGCAGCCGGCGCTCCCGGCGCCAACCACGACGTAGTCGAAGGTCCCGGCGTCGCGCCGCTCCTTGGGGGAGCAAGAGCAGCATCAATGCCACGTCGCCGGGGGGAGCCCGTCATCGCGTTTACTGCCGAGGAGAAGCCAGGTCTTCGGACACAGATGAAGGAGCAGCATTTGGAGGCAACTCCTGGGAGGTCTTCGCAAGAACGACTCAGGGCTGTCCAGCCAGGCCAAGGCACCACTGAGCCAGATTAGCCCCGATTGAGCTCAGGATTCAGCTGAAATCTCCAGGACCAACCTGGACCAAACGGAACGAAACAGGGTCATGCCAGACTAGGCAGGTTCTCGACGACGGACATGCGAGCGCCGATGCTGAATGAAACCTCCCAAGAACGGCATCCGACTTCTCGGTCGAAGAAGCACCAGGCCCCCAGACAGACACGAAGGAGCGACGCGCTGACGGGCTCCCACCGGCAGCGCTGCAGGCCTCCCCCGACAAAACGCGGCCCCAGCAGGTGGGGCCGGAGCGGAAGATCGCGCCACAGCGACCCCCGCCGCCGCGGAGGACATCGGGCGCTCCGCCATCGAGCCGCACCGCCGATGCCATGGGCGCTGCGGCGCGATGCGACGCCATGATTTGTTCATGACGCGACCCCCAGAGGTCCTGACCCGATCCCCGGGACCAGTTCCGGAGCCGCTCCCCGGGACCAGTTTCTCACCCCGAGTCGCTCTCCGACGGCTCCGAGTGGGCTGGCGAGGGCCCCCATGGAGGCCGAAAACAGCGAGAGACCTCCCGCCGTGATTTTTTTTCTTCACCACGCGAGGGGGTCTGCGGTCCTTGACTTCAGTCAGGCCTTTCCCCCCACAGGGGGAATTTATGACGAAAAATAAAAAAAATACCCCCCCCCAAAAAAATAATCAAAAAATAGTCGGGGGACTATTTTCTGAATATTTTTGGCTTTTTCTGGTATTTTTGGGGTATTCTTAACTTCTGTCGAAAATCCACCTGTAGGGGGACACGCCCGACATAATCCTTGACATGCGCTCTTCCCCCCCGGAGCTCCCCGGCCGCAGCGGCGGAGGCGCCGCGGGCGCCCGCGGGGCCCGCGCACCTGCGCGGCGCCGCCTGCGCGTGCCCGCGGCACGAGGCCAGAGCTCTCATCGGCCGCGGGGGCGGGCGGCGGCCGCCGCCGCTCGGAGGGGCCGCGCACCTCGCCGCGCCCGGCCTCGGCCGCAGACGGCCTCGGGCGAGGGCGGTGCTTCATGGATGGGCGCTGGGCCAGGCGAGACCCGAATCGAATCGGCAAGTCGGATCGGCGATCGACACGAATCGGATCTGAGGAAGTCGGCAGCCAAGTCGGGAGGAGTCGAATCGGCGGACATCGGCAGGCTGGTAGACCTCCATTGAAAAATTTGAGCCCGAAATGGAATCTGAAGTCGAATCGAACCGGAATCGGGACCCATCGAAATCGAATCGAGGCCTGCTAGACCCAGACCCCCTCGCGTCGTGAACAAACATCACGGCGGGAGGTTTTTCGTTGTTTCTGGCCTCCACGGGGGCCCTCGCCAGGCCGCGGGACCGTCGACAAGACGACTCAGGAGGAAAAGCTGGTCCCGGGGGTCGCGTTGTGACAAAATCATGACGTCGGGGGCCTGGGGGCGAAGGGGTTGGAGAAAGGTGCGACTTTCGCGCACTCTTCGGGGCCCTAGGGGGGGCCCTTCTAAATAAAATGCCCCTCTCGAGCTCCTTTCATGCAGCCTTCGAGGCCCCCCGACTTTGCTTTTCATCGCCCCCCATGAACAAAATCACCCGACTGCCGCGGGGGTCGACCTCTGGTCGGGCACTGCAGTTGGCCAACGGACTCTGCAGTCCGATATTCACCGCGGGTGCCCCTTCTTCTTTCGGGTCGGGCGAAAGGGGGGGATAGCAAAGGGGGGGGGGAGAATCAGCTCACGTAGCTGATTTTCCCGGCGCCTCTCGGCGCCGGAGGCGCCCATGTATCAAGAAATGAGATCCTAGGTGAGGCCGAAAGAACCCAGCTGCATGCAGCACATTCCAGCATCCCCCCTTTCCCAACTACCCCCTTTCGTCTGGCCCGATTCCTTTTGGACATGGAAGCGCTCGCAAGCCTGCTGCTATCGAAGCCGCTGCCGCCGAGGGCCTGGGACAGCAAAAAGAACACCCCGCTCGGCGGGTGCGGGCGGCCGGAGCAGGCGACGAGCGGCAGGCGGCCGATGCGGTGAGGCCCCGCTGCGGGTGGGAGCCGTGGGGGTCCCGAAACGGCGCGGCGACAGACCGCGCGGTGGCCGTGGGCTCCCGAGAGCAAGGGCGCCGAAGATTCGCGCGTCGCGCGGCGCGAGCTGTCGCGCCAGCCCCCCGTGGAGAAGAGGAGGAATCGGAGCCGACCGGCGAAGCGCGAAGCGCGAGGAGCTTCGCGCCCTCGAGGGCGCCCTTGCAGACGGCCTCACCGCACGGCCCGTCACCGCACGGTTGATGGGATCTTGGAGGCGCCCGTCGCCCGAGACCCTCTCGGATGACGACCCCGGTGCCGTCACCCTGAATCCCGTCAGCGACCTCGGAGGCTCTCAGTCGCCAGAGGTATCCTCGGACACCGTGCGGCCACCACGGACCTGCACTGACTCACCCGACGGCGCGGTCACCACATCCTCTTGGAATTTCCGAGAAGCCGTTCGATGGCATGAAGGAAGCAGGTCCTGAGGGAAGCGGGTTCTCCCGGGGATCATCTCTCCGCCCTGAATCGTTTTGTGACGATCCTGGGCCACGTGAAAGGCCTCGGGATCTGGAAAGCTACACGTCGTTCATTTATAATCGTGCTCATTTCTAATTGTGCTCGTTTCTAATTGTTCTTGCCCCCTAGCGGCCAGGAAGAGGCCCAGGGTAGAAGAATTAGAAATGAAAAGGATTCTGCCCCCCAAAAAAATCAAAAAACTTTCGAATACTTAGACATGAGCAATGTGTACGAATCGTCTCCTAAAGACCCGCTTCTCTCAGGACCAGCCCGCTTCATGGCTATAAGTCATGTTGCGATCCGAGCCCGCCGCTCCTCGGACGCCAGCTCGGAAACAGGCCGACCCCTTGGGTCCCTGGCCTGAGAGATGGGAGACAGAGCTTGGGCCAACATTGCCACCTGCAGTGGTGGCCAGGAGGAAGGCGATCAAAACACACACACGTTGGATGCCTGCACATGCCAGCTTGCTCTGAGTCGCGCGCACCCGAAATCAGATCGACGGCAGCTTCCCGAAGAGGGCTGGGCGCCCCCGAGAAAAATACAGAATGATGTGAACAATCCCGCCACACATTGTCCTGGCTACCACGAGTGCAGCATCCCCTGCACGAGCTCGAACACGGGCAGCTTCGCCGCATTCTTTGGAAGGGCCATGACGCAGGTCAGCAGCAGCCCCCGGTAGAGGCTCGCCGCCCCCGCCGAGCGCACGGACTGGCGCAGGCAATCCCAGGACCCGGCGTACCTCGGCGCTTCCAGCGAGTCGGCGTGCAGCCGGCTCTTAATGGTGTCGATGGTCGAGGACGAAGAGCACATCAAAACAAAAAGTTTTGGAGCTCCGCTCGGATTTCTTGGCTCGGCGCTGGACCCCCTCCCTGGCGTGCGGGGGGCGCCACCGGGGCCCAGCGCCGATCCACGACATCCGCGCGGAGTTCCGACTGCTTATGTTTGTGCAGCTTGCTTCTTCTTCGGGATGGGCATCACGGGCACCCAGTAGCACACGCCTCCGGCCATTCCGACGGCCATCACCTTGAGCGGGTGCACGTCCTTCTTCGTGCCGCCCGCCGGTGAGAGCCGAGCCAGCACCGTCTCGCAGAAGCCGAAGTAGCAGCCGTAGCCGAGCATGTCGCGGGCGGTGAGGGGCACGATCCCTCGGCCGAGGGCACGGGGTCCCCCTGACTGCCACACCCGCGCGGCCATCTGGCGCAGAGAAAGGGGGTTCGCCCTGTCCTTCTGCACCTGCATGCGTACCTTGAGCAGCTCGATCGTGTTCGCAACGGGGGCCTGGCAGAGGCCACCGAACGCTCCGCAGAGGGCGTTCTCCTGGACGCGCAGCGGTCTTCCTTCGATGGCCAAGCGGCGGCGCATCTGCTGCTGCGAGGAGAAAGCGATGCTCATCAGGAGGCCGACTCCCGTCATGGGCGGCACAGTGCCCTTGAAAAAACTGCCTGGGCCTTCGTTGCTCAGCATGCTGCGAGCACATTGCAGAGCTGTCTCACGGGAGACCTGGGTCTGCAATCTCACCCTGACCACGTCGATAGGCTGAGACGCCAATCCGCCACCGTGCTCCTGTGCCACGAACTCGAGTGCTCCCAGGTCCCTTACTCCACCCCTGAGCCTGGGTCCTCAGTCCTGAAGGTTCCTTTAGGTGCGAGGCTGGAACTTATCCACATCCACCGCCTGGGAACCGACGTCCTGGTGCCCCAGCGGGCGGTGGATATGGACATATGTTTTGGCCCCTGGGGGCCCGAAGACATCCAGATCCACCGCCTGCCGAGGTACCCGAGAACTGATCCTCCAGGCGGTGGCCCTGCACAACTCCCCGCCTCGGACTTGAGGCCCCGGGCCCCACATCCGCGGGCCTCCCCGGGCCCCCGGCGTGCCCCGCGGGGCTCCCGGCGCGCCTCCTGGGGTTTGCCGCGTGCCGTCGCTCGACTTTCTGCGGCCCTCGGAGGGCACCAGGAGAGGCCACGAGGGCCCAGGAGGCCCCCAACATGGCCCAAGAGGGGCCTCGGATCGCCAAATGATCGGCCCAAACACTCACAATGGCCTCCAGTCGGCCGAAACATAACCCAAGACGTCCCAAGAGGCCAGAATCATTGATTTCATTCGGCTTTTCAACGTTACCCAAACAATGTTTGCACTTAAGGGTTGCCACTTCTTACTGAGGAGCTGGGCTGGCGCGGCGGTCTGGCGGCTATGTTGTCGCCGTGGCCGCCCGGTCGCCATCTCGTCGCCGCCTGTCGTCTGGGCCAGTGTGGCGGACTGACGGCTATGTTGTCGCCGTCGCCGCCCGTCGTCGCCTCGGCACCGCCCGTCGTCTGGGCTGGTGTGGCGGTCTGGCGGCTACGTTGTCGCCGTCGCCGCCCCGTCGCCGCCTCGTCGCGGCCCCGCAAATTTGCGCCACATAGATTCTCCTTTCTAGAAGATGGTGAAGATCCTCCCCCCTCCCCCGGGCTAAACGGGCCGCCGTGTCAGATTGTAATTTGCACCTGCTTCTGCCCCATTGACCATCCTAAATATGACCTCGTGCCTCCCAGCAAAGCCAATATCGGATCGGGACCCCCTCATTTCCTTGCAGAAAACATTATGCGCGCGTGCCGAAACTGCTCCAAAACGGCAGCCACGAAAACATATAAAAACAGTTGGTTTCGCAACACGGGTTTTCAAACAAATCCTGCGCCCGCGCGTTTACGAATTCTTAAAAAGGCCATCGTTATTCAACAAAAACGTAACATGCTACCAAACGGGCCCCTCGCGCGCGCATGTCGAAATCCTTTGGACGCCATTTCGTGCGTGCCGCCGGAACCTTCCCTTGCAACAAATGGAAGGAAATGCGCACGCGCGAGACGTCGCCCGCATGCCGCAATTTTTCCAACACCGTAGGTGTCGTAAGGATTTCAAAAACGAGTATCCCGAAAGCATCTCACAACACATGGTTTTGTAACATCAATTTTCAAAACTGATCCTGCGCCCGCGGCCTTGCGGATTCTCAATACAAGCGTAGCTTCTCCAACACTTCCATCACATGTTGCTGAACGGGCCTCTCGCGTGCTGAGGGGGGGCACGATCCGAGTCAAATGACGCCACGTGGGTTTCGCGCGCGCGTCGGCCGCGCGCGCATGTCGAACTCTTTCAAGAACCTCGTCATCGTTTTCCGCGAGCGTGATCAACATCGGCGTTGTCATTGGCTTGCCGTCGTCATTGCCACCATCGTCACCATCGTTGCTACCCCCAGAATCGTGTCTACAGCTGTCGGCGTCGCCATAATACCGCGCCCGCCCAAATCACCGACCCGCACTGAAATCCCCGCTGGGAAATGCCCAACGGTCAGCGCCACCGCGGCCGCGGAGTCGGTCGCGCCAGACTAGGTGGCCGCTGTGCACGCGAGCGTGCGTGGGCCAGCGCGGCCGCAGAATGCACCAGCCAACGCCAAACACTCATCGCAATCGCCGCCGCATGGGTGTTGCAAGCCAAAATTGCTGGTGGGTGGGTGGGATGTTTGCAAGGGCGTGAATGTTTGTCCACTCGTGTGTAAAAATCCACTGAACCACTTAGATTCCACACCATGGATTGCACCACGTATATTCCCCCGTCTTAAAAATAGGTTATACCACCCTCCCCCCCCCAGGACTTAACGTTCCTCCTTTTCGTATCGCAATGTTCCTTTGGTTCTGCCCCATCAGCAATCCTAAAGATGAGTTTGCACTACCCCAGGGGGGCGGTATCGGATTCGGGAAAATTTCAAAATCGAGTTTCCGAAACACATACAAAAAACACGTGGTTTCGCAACGCGGATTTGCAAAACCAAAAAAAACATGCGCCGTTGCGAAATACTCAGAAAACCTTTGGTTCTTCAGTAAGTTCAGAAAATACTACAAAACGGGCTTCGCGCGCGCGCATGTCGAAATCGTTCGCACGCCCTTGCGCGCGTGCCGTCGCGAGAATCCTCTGCAAGAAAAAAAGACGAAGTGCACGCGCGCGCGTCGTCTCGCGCGCATGCCGAAATCCTTCAAAAACTTGCGGTGCAGGGCGAATTTCGGAATCGAGTTTCCGAAACGCATACACAAGCACCGGGTTTCGCAACGCTTTTTTCTGTTTAAACTATAGTTATAAAAAAACTTGCGCGCGTGCTTTTGCGAAATCTTAAGAAAACCTTCAGATTTGCAATATGTTCAGAAAGTACTACAAAACGGGCTTCGCGCGCGCATGTCGAAAGCGTTCGAACACCCTTGCGCGCGTGCCGTCGCGAGAATCCTCTGCAAAAAAAAAGACGCAGTGCACGCGCGCGCGTCGTCGCGCGCGTATCGTTGCCGTCGTCGTCGAAGTCGTCGGAGCCGTCGTCGGTGTCGTCGTAGTCGTCGTAGTTGTCGTCAGCATCGTCGTCGTCGTCGGTGTCGCTGCCAAGTGCCATTTGGTACCTGCCGTCACGGTCTTAAGAGGTATTGCGACCAAGTTGCGGGTGGGAAATTGTTTTTTTCCTTCTCTTGCTTTGTTCACTTTCGCGAGCACTGGCGAGGGCAGCTTCAAGACAGACAACATGAGTTGCACCGCGTAGATTGCACCAGATAAGGTGCACAAGTTAGATTGCAACACGCGCGCTCTCCCTTCTAAAAAGAAACTAGACCCCCCCCCGGATTATCGGTTCCCCTTGTCGTGCAGCAATTTACATGCGATTCTTCCCCATTGCCCATCCTAAATATGAATCCATGCCATCCCAGCCCGGCCGGTACCGCCCCCCCGTCGCCCCCGCCAGAAAACTTTATGCGCGCGCGCTCGCTGACCATAAATCTTCCATCTTCAAGAACGCCTTGAAAATGAAACGAAATGCACGCGCAAGCGTCGTCGGGCCGCATGCCCTAATCCTTCAAAAGCCTTCGGTTTCGCACGGGTTGCAGAATTCAGTGCCCCACAAACATATGCAAACACAGGGGTTCGCAACGCGTTTTTTTTGTTATATATATATATATATTTAATATATACATAAGAAAAAGCTCGCGCGCGCTCTTGGGAATTGTTCTACAAACTGAAAGCCTTTGCAACATTTTCGCAACGTGCTACACAGCGGGCTTCGCGCGCGCATGTCGAACTCATTCGAGCGCCCTTGCGCGCGTGCCGTCGCGAGAAACGCCCGCGAAAAAAAAGCAAGCTGAAGTGCGCGCGCGCGTCGTCGCGCGCGCGCCAAAATCCTTCAAAGACCTTCGTCGTCGTAACGATGCCAGAACCGAGTGTCCAAAAAACATACAAGAAACGGCTTCGCCCGCGCGCCTGCGAATTCGCAAAAAGGAAAAAAAACAAGTTGTTACAACTTTTTTCGTTCAGGGAGTTCTGCAAGACGGACCTCTCGCGCCGCGTGCCGCCATCATTCGCGCGCCCTTGCGCGCGCGCAAGGGGGGGGGGGGGGGGGGGGGGGGGGGGGGGGGGGGGGGGGGCGCGATCCGCGTCAAAGAATACCGCGCGGGCCGCTCTCGCGCGTCGGCCGCGAGCGCGCGCCTAACTCTCCCCGGCTTCATCGCCGACGCGAGGACGCCGTCGTCGTCGTAGGCGCGATCAGCATCGGCGCCCGCACTGGCCGCGCCTTCGTCGTTGCCAACATCGCCACCAGCGCCGCTGCTATCATCGTCGCGCCTACCGTAGCCGACGTTGCCATGATACCGCGCCCGTGCACATCGCCGATTTGCAGTGAAGTGCCCGCTGGGATGCGCCCCGCGGTCAGCGCCACCGCGGCCGCGTCGCCCGCGCCAAACTAGCTGGCCGCTGCACGCGCGTGCTAGGGTTGGCGCGACCGCAGA